CTAGCTAGCTTAACTTAACTAACGGAATATTGATGAGTGCATGAGAATCAATCGAAACACAACGACAACCTCAATCCTCATCATCATCTCATCACACTCATTATTATTAATATAATTGGACAATCCCAACTAAATCGATGGATTACCTAACTTACTAATCACCAGGTTTCAAATTCAATTCCTTATAAAGTTACCTATTTGTCTTTTTAATTTGAGTTGGATAGTTATGGACAACTTCAATTGGCTTACTTCGTGATGATCCCATACGATTAGAGTCACAAAGTGAGCTTTCAATGACACGTCATCGCATAGCAGATGTAAACTTTTCTGCGAATAAAATTATTAACATGATTATCCTCAAAACAATATCCACTAATTACAAATAAAAAAACACTTAACAAAGTTGCTTATACATACATTTTCATTTTTCTAAGAATTACATCTTAACTAAGCAACACATACTTGTTTGACATGCTTTCATGCATAGGTATCGGTGCCTTTATAAATAATTTGAGACGAAAATATATAGTTTTATAAAACCATATACAATATAATTTTGTGGAAACAAAATAAAAAATGAAAAGAAAAATCATTAAAGCTTCTCACTCCATGCACCCCTATGCTGAAATTGAGTGTATTGTCAGTGATCTGATCCACAAAACGAGGATCTAACATGGAAGAAAACCACACCAAGCTTAATTATTCAATATTATCACTATAATAATCTATATTTTCACAATTATGTGATAAATTTATTCCTCACATTTCAACGTTAGGCCAACTGTCGGCTGACAATTCATTACTTTCATACGCATGTCAAATTAAACTGAAAACCCAACAAAATCCTATCTTACCTAGGTGATTGTATGAGTAAAGTATGATTCTCATATGAGAAAGTTATAAATTTAATTTTTGTTCACACATTCTCAATCAAACTCGTGGCACAAAATAGTTACTAGTAATGCACATGCTTGGGCCAATTACACACTCTGGCTTAACAGGCCAACTACCCTCCAAGCAACAGGTGGACCATAGTCTCTGGACGGACTCGAATATCAAATTGAAGCATGTTTTTTATGTCAACTACAGTGGATAGTTGAATTGCACATTTATATTTATATTTATATATTATATATGTTCAACAAGGATCACAATACTAAATTTACACCTTAAACACCTCCAATATACAGTTCTTAATTTTCCTATTCACTCAACAATATAAAAATATAAAAGGGAAAATGGCACTTTTTCCCTCTGTATTATATACTTATAGCACTTTTCCCCCCTATATTATTTAAGTGGCAATTTTCCCCCCTGATATATTAAATGGACATATTTACCCTTAAAATAAATATTTCCTTTATTTTACTTCTCCAACAAATTATAACCACAATTTGAAAAAATAAAATACATTAATTGTTGAATTTAGAATACTTTAAAAATAAAAAAATAAAATTTTAAAATAATGTTTGAACCAACAGTTCAAATTGGATCCGAAATTGTGAAACAACGATTCAAAATAAAAACCAAATCGCGATTATATATACTTATATGTGAGAGTCAATATAAATGCGAAAAAAACATACACTATTTGCAAATATTATAATTCTAATTTTAAGCTATTGCTAGTAGTTGTTCCGATTTGAACCTCTGGTTCACGGTTCAGAATCTATTTTTTTCCACTTCACAATTTTAATAAACGGAAACCCAAATATTGGGTTATGTTATGAATCATAACCGAATTTTTTTTTATTTGATTGCTATAGTGTTCGGTTCAGTTCGAACCGAACCGTGGCCATCCCTACGTATAAACAATAATTTGTTGAACAAGAGAAATAAATAAAATATGTATTTAAGGGTAAAAATGTCTATTTAATATTATCAGGGGGAAAAACCGCCACTTTTATAATAATTGAGGGGGCAAATGTGGATGCATGAATAACTCAGGAGGAAAAAGTGCTATAAGCATATAACATAGGGGAAAAAGTGCCATTTTCCCAATATAAAAATAAAAATAAAAACAAAAACAAAAACAAAAACCCAAACCCTATATTAGTTAGTACACACTACAACCTCGATGTCCACAAATATATATATACACACACCACATCATTGTTGCATAACAACGCCAAATTAAAGTTTATCAATGGTAAGATTCATTTTCATTTCCATTTCTTTAGTACTCATCATCTCTTTCTTGTTACCTCGATCCGCGTACTCGAATGAAGAACCGGTGGTGGAAGGCGGAGGAGATATTGACTGGTGGTGCGCCGCCACACCTCATCCGGAAACCTGCAAGTTTTATATGGCGCACGCTGGTTACAACGCCAGGCCGAAATGCCGGTCGGATTTCCGGACGATGACTGTTGGAGTCGCCCTGGAAAGAGCCATCCACGCCCAGAACACGGCGAAGCAGCACGGCAGCAACTGCCGTGGCAAAAGAAAGAAGAGGGTTTGGATGGACTGCGATAAGCTCATCGCCAACACCGTTCTGCAACTCAACCGGACTCTCGACGGCGTTAAAGATAACGCCACTTCCTGCGCCGACGTCGACGCCCAGACGTGGCTGAGCACCGCCCTCACCAACATCGAGACGTGCCGCTCCGGCGCCGTCGAGCTCAACGTTTCCAGCGTCGTCGAACCCATCGTCTCCAGCAACGTCTCCGAGCTCATCAGCAACTGCTTGGCCGTGAACGGAGTTTTGATAGACGAACACAACTCCACCGCCGCGACGGACGACGAATTCCCGAGCTGGATATCCGCCGGCGAACGGCGGCTGTTGCAGAGTTCATCCGTCGCGGCGGCGTCACAGGCAAACTACGTAGTTTCCAAGAACGGAAGAGGCCATTTCCGGTCCATTCAGTCTGCAATAAATCAGGCAACGTCGAGACGAAGGGGGAATCAAAGGATTGTTATCTATATCAAGCGGGGCGTTTATAGAGAAAATGTGATCATAAGCAGTAAGATGAGTGGAATCATGCTGGTCGGCGATGGCCTGAGATACACTATCATCACCGGCGCACGTAGCGTCGGCGGTGGCTACACCACTTACAGCAGCGCAACTTTTGGTATGGATCCATTCTTTTTATTTTTTTTAAAATACATCCAAATTAGTGTAAAAACACATAAAAATCCAACTTCAAATCTTGATTTTTGAGCTAACCAAGTCATTCAATCAATACATTACTTCTATTTTTTTTTTTTAATTTTTGTTTTCGTGTTTATGTTTTTTGGCGGGAAAACACGTACATAAAGATTTAAATGATATGTAAAGCTTATTATAAATTATAAGTATAAATATAAAATAAAATTATAGAAAGAACATTTTCGAATTTCTTGATAAATACTACTAAATTAGGTATTCAAGTTTTTGTCAGATGGAGGTAGCGGAAAGTGAGGCAAGATTCCATTAGAGTAATTAAGAAAAAATTAGAAGGTCAACGCTAAGCTTTTACGTACATTAATATCGATCATATCACGTGAAAGAATTCTTTTTCATTTATATTTTATTGATTTCGATATTTCGTGTTTGATAATGAATAATTAATTAATCAACATATAATAAGAATAATTTTATTATTTTTTTAAATGATAAGAAAAACTCTCAATCATTATCAACTGTATACATTAGATTAATCCACTTATGGCTTTAATTAACAAAGAAAATTAACTTAAATTATATTTGGCTAGTTCAAATAAAAAATGCTAATAGTTTGATTGGATTCTAATGTCTTAATTTTCTTTTGAGTTGATTAGGGGTTGACGGCCCAGGATTCATTGCTCGTGGCATAACATTTCGGAACACGGCGGGTCCGGGAAAGGGACAGGCGGTGGCTCTCCGATCAGCCTCCGATCTCTCCGTCTTCTACAGCTGCGGCTTCGAGGGCTACCAAGACACGCTCTTCGTACTCGCGCAACGACAGTTCTACAAATCATGTTACATCTACGGGACCATAGACTTCATCTTCGGCAACGCGGCGGCGGTGTTCCAAAACTGCATAATCTACGTCCGAAAACCGCTGTGGGGACAAATCAACGTCGTCACCGCCCAAGGCCGGGGCGACCCGTTTCAGAATACCGGAATTTCCATCCACAACTCCCAAATCCGGGCGGCGCCGGACCTCCAGCCGGTGGCGCGTTTCTACCAAACGTACCTCGGCCGGCCATGGCAACAGTACTCCCAAACGGTCGTCCTAAAGAGTTACATAGACCGGCTTGTGAACCCGCAGGGATGGCTGCGGTGGCAGAACACCGATTTCGCTTTGAGCACGTTGTACTACGGAGAGTACCGGAATTTCGGGCCGGGAGCTTCGACGAGGTTAAGGGTAAAGTGGCCGGGGTACCACGTTATTACTAACCGGAATGTCGCGGCGAGGTTTACTGTCTCCAGCCTTATTGCCGGCCGGACTTGGTTGCCTTCCACCGGCATCCCTTTTACCGCAGGCTTGTGATCATTAGATCGTGTTTAGTTTATTTCTTATGGATTTTTGGTTTCATATTTAGTTTGATTTTACATGTCATGCTGTTATGACATTCTTGAGAAGAATACATCGTCTATTGCTATTGGTGTTTAACTCAAACCAACTTAGGAATCAGATAACCAGATTCCCAATCTGAAACAACTTAGGAATTGAACCATTTTCCTTTGACTAACAATTTGGATTGGGATTCCTATTCCAAATGTAACATGGGTTCCCAGATGTGAAACAACTTAGGAATCAGTTTGCTTTTATGGTAATTCCAAGCCCACTTGTATATAAAACCATCAACCACCAACACCAACCCTTACTCCCTTATTCTAGCTAGATTTGCACCATCAACGTTTACTACTTCCAGGTAGAATAAATATATACATCTCCCTAAAAACAAAGTAACTGTGAATAAACAGTTTCTTTTGATATAAAGGTACACAAAATCGTCATAAATTACATACACAGTACCCGGTATAACTTGCATCCAAAATTGTGGACCGACTAAGATAGCTGCAGATCAACATTACTATGAAGCTGAAAAACCTAGGATTTTTGTTGTTCCTCGTATCTTGGACGCTACTAGCCCAGTGTCGCACGGACGCCGGCAGCATACCACGGCGACTGAAGGCTACAAAGCCGTCGTTGGACCTTGTGGTTGGCCGGGGACCGACAAATATCCGCACCATTACCGAAGCTATCGCGATAGCGGCTCAGGAGAGGACAAGCGACAAGAGGTATGTAATAAAAGTAAAAGCGGGAGTTTACAACGAGAATGTCATTATCAACGACAGACTTCCGAATCTCACGCTACTCGGAGATGGAAAGGGGAGGACTATTATCACCGGCGAGCTTAGTGTTGGTGGCAGTAACTTAACCACCTTCAATACTGCAACTGTTGGTAAGCGAATTTGTGTTTTTTTTATAACCCAGATTTTTTCATTTTGCTTAATTATATCCTAAATCGTATGAACCGTATAGTTGGTTCTTAGAATTGAAGCATATACTCCATCTCAATTAAAAGTCTAAATTGATAGTTGGATTGCACGTTAATGGCTATATACTCACACTTAGGTGATAGGACACGTTTAAGGTAACATGAAGTAACGAAACACGGTTTTCGCAGGTGTTGACGCTGACGGGTTTATAGCTCGCGGCATTACATTCCGGAACACCGCCAGTGCGGAGGCGAAGCAGGCGGTGGCGCTGCGGGTGACCGGCGACAGGGCCGCCTTCTACGGCTGTTCATTCGAGGGATACCAAGACACACTCTACGTCCACGCCGGCCGGCAATTCTACAAGAAATGCGACATCTACGGCGCAGTTGATTTCATCTGCGGAAACGCCATGGCCGTCTTCCAAGACTGCAACATATACGTAAGACAAACAAACAACATCCAGGCAGTAATCACAGCCTCAAAGCGCGAAAACCCAGATGACCCAACAGGAATCATAATCCAGAGATCGCGTATCGCCGCAGCTCCGGGCGCAAACCTGGAAGGGATCAGAGTATACCTGGGAAGACCGTGGAGAGAGTATGCAAGAACAATTATCATGGAATCAGACATCGAATCTTTGATAGATCCAGAAGGGTGGCTATGGTGGGATGGAAAGGATGAATCTTTAAAGAATAACATATACTATGCAGAGTTTGAAAACACCGGCGCCGGCTCTTCCACCGCCGGTAGGGTGAATTGGAATAGTGTGCACCAAGTGATTACACCACAAGAAGCTGAACAGTTCACTGTGGATAAGTTTATTGATGGCAATTCATGGCTGCCATCTACCAATGTGCCATTCAGTTCTGGCCTCTGAACATATATATATGTACACACAAACACACAATTAAGGATAGAGCTTCATAGACTAGATAAAATTACCTTATTCCTTTGTAAATACTAAAACAAAATTTGTCATACACAACATTCCTATGTAAATGATGCAATGAAAACTTTTTTAATGCAGAACAGCAAATCAATTGATTCAAACAAGTTAATGGTGTTACACACACACACACATATATATATATAAACGACTCCTTAATTGAAATATGAGTTGAGGGGCTAACTCCCTCAAAGACCCCAACCACCATATGAAGGACCCCTCAAAAAATTGACAAAGTGTTCTTGAAAAAAAATACCAGAATTTAAATACTTGGTAACAAATATGAAAAATAAAATAAAATATGTAAAGTAATTTAATGATGTAGTTTACTGTTAAGTTACATTAATGATAAAAGTAACTTTCAAATTCAATATAAAAGGTTGATTATATAAATATATACATCTCCTTTTTTTTTTAAAGGGATATATACATCTCCTTATAACAAAGTAATTGTGAATAAACAGTTTCGTTTGATATAAAGGTTCAAATGAATACTTAGCATATTGTACTATAATGCGTTGAGAAAAATTAAATAAAAAATGTTAAATGTACACAGTCATAAATTTGACACACAATACCCTCTATAATATGCATGTAAAATCGTGGACCGATTAAGCTAAGATAGTTGCAGATTAACATACATAACTATGGAGCTGAAAAACATAAGATTTTTATTGTTCCTCGTATCTTGGGCGCTACTAGCCCAGTGCCGCATCGACGCCGGCAGCATACCACGGCGACTAAAGGCTGCAAAACTGGACCTTGTGGTTGGTCGGGGCGCGACAAATATCCGCACCATTAAGGAGGCTATCGCGACAGCGGTTCAGAACAGGACAGGCGACAAGAGGTATGTTATAAAAGTAAAAGCGGGAGTTTACAACGAGAATGTCATTATCGACGACAACCTTCCGAATCTCACGCTGCTCGGAGATGGAAAGGGGAAGACTATTATCTCCGGCTACCTTAGTGTTCTTGGCAATAACTTAACCACCTTCCAAACTGCAACCGTTAGTAAGTGAATTTTTTTTTATTTTTTTTTGTAACTCAGTTTTCCGATTTCATTGAACTATATCCTGAATTTCATGACACGGTTTTTTGCAGCGGTTGATGCTGACGGGTTTATAGCTCGCGGCATAACATTCCGGAACACCGCCGGTGCGAAGGCGGAGCAAGCGGTGGCGCTGCGGGTGAGCGGCGACAGGGCGGCCTTCTACAGCTGTTCATTCGAGGGATACCAAGACACACTCTACGTCCACCACGGCCGACAATTCTACAAGAAATGCGACATCTACGGCTCACTCGACTTCATCTTCGGAAACGCCATGGCCGTCTTCCAAAACTGCAACATATACGTAAGACAACCAAAGAGCAAGGACGCAGTAATCACAGCCTCAAAGCGCGAAGACCCAAAGAATCAAACAGGAATCATAATCCAGAGATCGCACATCGCCGCCGCGCCGGGCACGCACCTGGAAGGAATCAAAGTATACCTGGGAAGACCGTGGGGACACTACGCAAGAACAGTTATCATGCAATCACACATCGATTCTTTGATAGATCCAGAAGGGTGGCTATGGTGGGCTGGAAAGGAAGATGTTTTTAAGGATAAGATATACTATGCAGAGTTTAAAAACACCGGCCCCGGCTCTTCCACCGCCCGCAGGGTGGATTGGGGTAATGCGCGCCAAGTGATTACACCACAACAAGCTGAACAGTTCACTGTGGACAAGTTTATTGATGGCAATTCATGGCTGCCATCTACCAATGTTCCATTCAGTTCTGGCCTCTGAACATATATAAATGTAAAGTGTACAGACAAACACACATTTAAGGATAGAGCTTCATAGACTAAGATAAAATTACTTCATTCCTTGGTAAATGCTAAAACAGAATTTGTCATACACAACATTCCTATGTAAATGATGGAAATGAAAACTTTTTAAAGGCAAAACAGCAAATCAAATGATTCAAACCACACCCCCCCCCCCCCCCCTCACCTCTACCCACACCCCAAAAAAGGACCCTATTTCCACAACATTCAAAGTTAATGTAAAATGTAAATGCTAGCAGCAGATAGCAACATCATCGATAGCATCAGGTCCGAGCTTCCATGGACAACTGCAGATGATGTTTTTTGTTGCCTGAAATGCAAAATATGAATAACAAGTTAATTAATGGTCTAATAGCACATAGAGAGCGAGAGAGAGAAGAAGAAGAAGAAAAAGGTTAATACTTCTGCATTGAGGAAAGGGCACCACAGTAAAGAACATTATCCGGCACAGGGTTTTCTGTTTTATTGCTAGTATCTTCGGGGTTGATAATTCTCATAAAAGTTTCTTGCCCTAAATACCATCTGTCGAGGTTTTCTGTTCTAAGGTTCCACACACCAACATTGTCAAGAGATACCAAGATTGCTGTCCAGCCTCCAGCAAAAACCTAATGATTAAGGGAAAGTTGTCATTAAGAGAAACAAAATGCAAATCTAGTTTCTGAATTTCGGGAATGAAAACAAACCTGAGTAGTACACCGGGATATTGCATCCCATCTATTATACGAGCCCCTATTGTTCTCTGTCCATTCTCCATAGCCCATCCTGCATGAAATAGATCATTAAACCAATACATATATAACCAGAATTGGAATTCGTAATAACCATACTTTCAGTAAAGAGTTATACCCGACCACGAAGAATGAATAACCATCCATGTGAAAGCTCTGCACAACAGTATCATTGTTCTGCAATACGATTTCTATGAATCCCTTGTATGTACCACTGATAAGTGATTTGTCCATCTTAGGTGGTCTGTTCATTGGCTTATTCGGAAAATCAAGTTTGTAGTCACCTGGCACATGATATATATCAGAAAGCCTCATGGGAGTATCGGGATAAACAAAGGATATCCCATTATATGTAGCTCGCCGTTTTCTGTCAATGGTCACTGGTGGGACACTCTTTAGAATGTAAATGTCAGTCACATTAACAGAGCCATAGTGGAAGGATCCCTGAGGATTCGGACGAGCTCCACTAGCAGATACATTTTGCCTAAAACCATTTCATTAAACAGCACAAATCAATACCAAAATTCTTCTCTAAGAAAATTTGAGACCCTGAGATGTATTAACTCATTTCACAATAAAGAATGTTTAAAACTGGCCAAAAGAAATCCATTTCTAAACCGGTATAAACATTGGTAAATTGTGACGAACCTGATGGATAATGCTTGATTTATCACATAGGATTTGTCATAAAAATCATTGGGAGGATCCGGGAGAGGGCCACTTGCTTTTCCTTTGGAGTTTGAATAGTGCAAAACGGCAACACCAGTAACTTTTTCCCAAACCGATTGATTTACAAGCCTAGGACTTGCTACAACATAGTAATCGCTACTTGCATTCTGATCCATTGTTACCAAAAAAGTGTAGGATTGCCCAACATGGATATCTAGGCTAGTATAATTCTGCTGAGAAGTATACGTTCCCTCTGTTTCTGCTAAAAGCAAATTATGATTCTGAATCCTAAAGTTCAAACAAGTCGAGACTCCAACATTGTGCACCCTAACACGATAAGTTTTGCCTGCAGTATTCGATACCACCTGGTCAAGATAATAACAATGACCGACAAGGAAAGAGAAACATAGTTTGACAACAATTATAAGATTAAACAAGAAATGTTTGCAAATGATGCACCTGGTTCGACATTAATTGTTTCATGATCAATGCCATCTGGAACAAGTGAAGAATTGTATCTGTAGGGTCCTTTACCGTTGATAAGTACCCCATCTGGCATTCCCAATTCTTTACCATTATCAAGGTCCTCACGCAGAGCCTAAGATTCAGTTAGATTTAGAAACTATACACTGAACACACTGGACCCAAACATATCAATATTTGCACAAAAAATAGAATCTTTCAACTTAATGACTTATACAAACCTTGTGACTTTTGGTATACCAGTCACCGATGAGCATGACTATATCTCCATCAGGAAAACCAAACGGAAGACTGATAACAGGGCGGTTAGTGATAATAAAAGAACCAAAGCCACCGGATGCTCTCTGCATGAGCAATGAAGGAAAATAGAAAAAGCTTCCAATCTGGTCCTTGACCTGAAACTGATAGGTCCAGTTCCACTTCGCTTGGATAGGGCAATTTGTTCCATGAACCCCATCTTGCCAGGAAGAGCGCCACATATGAATTCCTGGCCTGTAAACCAGTTCCACACAAGTAAGAAAAGATAACATATTCCAGTCACATTCTTATCTTCCAAAACCATAATTCATTAAAATATACCAGGTAACCAGAAGATCTTCATCCAGCCTGTTCCTCACATTAACCATAACATTATCATTAGTTGTAACATTCAAAACAGGACCTGGAAATTGCCCATTAACTGCAATAACCTGATTCAAATGATAACCAATGGTGAAGTCATCTTACTGCTTCACTAGAAATACAATCACACATCCTAATTCAAACAAAACCCAGGAAATGGTATACTCCCATGATAATCAAAGACAAAAGCACTTCCATTCAACTGCAAGACTACATGGAAATAAAGCCTAACACTAAAAAACACAGAATAGACTCCCAATTTATATACCATATACAAAGAGTAACAACATTCTTAAAAGGAAAAGGAGAGAGAAAATACACAGTACAAATTCAATAAAGAGCAGAACCCAAAAACAAAAAAAGATGTATTTTCCATAAATGGTCCATAACCAGCACCTGGGTCATTAAAGCATCCATAAATTCCTATTGTACTTCAAAGAAGAAGTAAAAATCAGCAGAAAAAAGTGTAACTTTCTATTCAATTTACTCCGTCTTGTTAGTCGTGACCCGCATTACACGAATAGCCACAGAAACAGTTCAACTACTGAGCAAAACGGGTTCTAATTCCTTCTCCATTTCTGGGAACGTATTATTCTTACCTGCTGAGGAACACCGAGTGGAGATTTGGTGACATAGGTGTACTCCAACTCGAAGCTGACGAATCTGTCGCCGGCGAAGCAGACAGTGAAGAAGATCAAAGCATTACAAATGCAAGCCCGACGGAGAGCACTAAGCAGAGCCATTGATGAAATCCTTGCAACAGAGATTGGATGAGCTGTTTTACATAACGCCGAGGTGGTTCTCCGAGAAGGAGCAGACGAATGGGCAAGCAAACGTTCTTTCCCCGAAATTCGCACTTCTCTCTTCTAAATATGCATAGCGTAATGTGCGCTCATGGAACCGCTTACTGCTTCGTCCGGTTTGTCCAAAACCAATTTTCAAAATTCCACTAAAAATAACTATAAAAGCAACCAACCAAATTAATCAGCTAACCACAATATTCTAATTTTGATTATCAACTATTTATTGACATTTTTTATTAAGTCGATCAGCTATAAATAATTTAAAAAATAATTTAAACAAGTTTTTTTCAAAATACACATTTAAATACCTTCGAATATTTTACAAGTTAAATTTTCACTTATAAGTAAAGTTAATGTTACGTTAAACTATAAACAAATAATAATTAACTTTTTTTAGTACTATCGAATCTATTACACGGTACTGTCTGTTCAATATACTTTCTAAATCTGTTGTAGCTTAAAGAATGAATATCCCACCACTAGAGTTTTATTCTGTGACCTTCACTCAAGAAAAGTCATAAATGTATCAATTAAGCATAAAATGCTTAACACCAAAAAAACACTAGTTAAAATGCAAGGAATTTAATCACTTAACCATGAGTTTAAGAGTTGAAATTTATATGTATGTAGCAAAGATTCAGCTCTATTAATCTCATCTCATAAAATATCAATCTTTTATGTATGTGAAATTAATAATATTAATAATAAAATGAATATTTAAGGGAAAAAACATGAGATTCTTTCAAAAAAAAATAAAAATAAAAAAAATAAAAACATGAGATTTTTTTCAAATATATCATTTCCTCCTTAATTGATTGTCTTATTTGCTTTTTGCATAAATTTTAGGCATAAGTAACAAATAGGCACATCTACAACTGCGAAGTGCTCAATTTTCACCACGAACTAAATTAAATGTCAAATAGGCCCATCTACCAACTAAATTTGTTCGATTAACTTTTTTTTTGCAGGTTGTCTATTCAATTATTAAAAAAAATAATATATACATGCATACATACATATATAGTCGAATGGTCAAATAGATGGAGGACCAAATCGTGTAAATTGCAAAGTTAAGGACTTAATTGGTTGAAATTGAAATCGAAGATCAATTTATGAATTTTGCTATAGTCGATGGATCATTTTAAGTATTTACTCATTAAAAAATATAGAGTGATAGTTAAATTCAATTTTGAAAAGATAACAATATTTTGAACAAATTAAAAAGAAAAATATAACAGGTAAAATAGGAAATAGGGAGTATAAAACAATTGGCAAACGGTAACCGGTTATTGCCTGTAAAAGCTAAAATTGAAAGTAACGTTCGAAAATGAAGCCGTCAATGGTTTCACATTTCACAACGGCGTTGCTTTTTTGGGCTAAACGACTCCTTGAAATGTGAGTTGAGGGGCCCACTCCCTCAAAGACCCCAACCACCCGTTATGGGCCCCCTCAAAAAATTGACAAAGTGTTCTTAATATTTTTTTTTTTTCAAAAAAGAAAACCAAAATTTAAATACTTGGTAATAAATATGAAAAATAAAATAAAATATGTAAAGTAATTTAATGATGTAGTTTACTGTTAAGTTACATTAATGATAAAAATAACTTTCAAATTCAAATATAAAAGGGAGATTACATTATATTATTTGATTACACTATAGTTTTTAATTATATACATACATATTATATATATATAATAAGTTTTTTTTAATGCAATGTTTGAGATAAATGGTGAGCAAATTACTAATATTTGGCAAGATAAAAAAATTTAAACTTTAATTTAGAGAAAGTCTATTTAGAAATGTGTAATAATGGACCATAAAAAATTAGCTCAACATAGATTATTCATAGGTAATTGGTTCAAATCAAAAATATCAATATGTAATTTTCATTGAACATTCAACTTAGAACTTTGTAATTATCAAAAAAAATTGTTGACTAATTTGATTGAAATTGCTTTAAAGACCTTATAAATTAGACTTTCTTTTAAGGGTAACGGAATTATATATATATATATATATATATATATATATATATATATATATATATATATATATATATATATATACCCACACACAAATACAAAGAAGTTTGCACTTCTGATTTTGGGCTCCGACAATGCGAATGAACAATGTGGGGTTGGCGCAAGAATTGTTTAAGGTGGTCGGGCTCCTCGTTGAATGAATAATAATAATATATAAATAAATAAGAGTGATTGAGGCGCCAATGCGCCATTACCTAACTTTACATGATTAATGCCGGATTTTATCACTTTGATTTGATATATGGATTAGATTATATGAATTAGTAATAAAAAAAAAATACAAAACTCACATTTTAATTTATAATAATAACTTATGATATGCCAACTACTATGTAATGTGATAGACAATTTGTTATTATTCTTAATGGGTGCTCACATGATCAAACCTAATGTATGAAGTTATGAACATTGATTCTTTATTCTAAAAAAAAGATTGAGAAAGTATAATCCATCCACTAGACTAGTCTTTTTCAGTTTTGAAATTTTGATTCATGTTATTATTATATGATAATAATTTATGTTAGAAGAACTCGTTACGTAAATACGCATATACTAGCACATTCATATGTAACTTTTTTGTAGAATAATTGGACAAATTTTCCGGTGATAAATGCATAAAAGCAGGTATCCTTTTAGTGATGAAATGATTTCAAAAAACAATGCTTTTAAACAACAATAATTTGTTCCCACACATGTCTATGAGTGCCATTCTTGCAATATAATGATGTTTTCAAACAATAATTGTATGCTATATGCAAATAGCTCGAAATTATAGCTATCCTACTATTTCAACAAATGTTTGCTTTTATTGAAATTAAAAAAAAAAATCTCTTAAAATATGTTATTTAATTTACAAGTTTGAATTTAGACAAATAATCAAATGACTCATAATAAGTCTAATTCAATAACACAAATAATAACTCCAAAAACACTACATATTTGTAATACCAATCATAACAATATTGGCTTATTAAGTAATCCGATTTAATTCACCCTAACTCTGTTAAATTGACTATCTAGCTTAGCTTAATCCAATCCCGATTACTTAGTTACCGTTAAGAAGTAAACATGATATGTGTGATAATTAACTAGCACATGATACAGCATAGAGAAGGATCTAATTCTATAACTCAATAAATAATTGTATTAAAAGAACAAAAAAGAAACATTAAACAAACAACAAATTTCACCAGAAACGTCTATGTAAAGTCGAGCCATCAACCATAATCGTAACTACTGAGTATTTTAATCACAAAATGACACAGTAATCTGGGCTTTACAGGTCATGTAAACGGATTAAGATTGATACAACATAGTTTACTTATAAAAATGGAATTTCTGTCTTGTCTTGTTGTTTGCTTCCAACTGTCACAGGTCCAACGTGACCAGGCCTCCTCATTCTTATCTCATCGTACATGCTCCTTTTCCCTACTATGTTTTGCCTTTGTGGTCGAGCGACATAACTGTGGTCCCTCACTTCAGAGATTTCCGGTTTGAATCTCAACGTGAAACATTAATTCTTTGTGCACCAGTATGTATGAACAGATATTAGGAGGAGGATAATATCAGATTTATTCTCTGCAAAGTTGAAGAGAATGGCAGAAAAGAAGAAGAAGAAAAAAAAAAAGAAATAAGGAACATGGGCTGCTGTTTCGCGCAAATAAGGAACATGGGCTGCTATTTCGCGCACAACAGCAGCCCACACCGGCGCGCCTGAATCTTCTGTTTTTTTTTTTTTCTTTTGTCCCTTTCCACATTCTCTTTCCTAATCATTCTTGTATTATTCCTCAAATCTCTCCAACGGGTGTGGATGCTCTTATAGACTAAATAATATTTAAAAAAAAAAAAAAAAAAAAAACTCTCTTTTGAGGGTTGGAAAAAGGTTTTGGCCCAACAAAAGTGTTCCAAGGGTGAAGCCCATTGGGTTATACTTGTAAACTCATCATTTTGATTAAAAAATAGCTAGCAATAAACAGATTTTACATACAAACATTATCTGCATATCACTTCATATCTCTCTATTTTAAACCTTAAATTGATGAAATCAAAACGACATATATAAACTAAAATACAACAATTTTTTCATGGGACTACAACTCATCCAAGGGGAATCGTTTAATATCCGCTGAATTCATTTGCCACATCTTCACCGATGCTGTGACAGTAGCTTTAGTAGCATTGTTGAAAAGGAAAACTTTTGCAGCTCCAAAAATGGCTTTTGTTGGATAAATTCTTGATGTGATCACCGTTCTTCCTCCTTGAGCAAAGCTCTCTACTATCGAATGATCAATCTGCATTAATGATGTTTTTCACGATTAGTATACTAATTGAAGCATGTGTTCCATCTCTCAACTAAAAATCTAAGCTGATAGTTGGATTGCACATTTATGTTTATATATGTTAGTGGAAATTATGAAATTTCCGACCACTTGAAAATGATCTTAAATCAAGTAAAAAACTTTGTTCCGACCACTTTTGGTATTCGGAAAAACCTTTGTTGCTATTTCCGACCACTTTTTGGTATCAACTTGATTCAAGATCACTTTCAGGTGGTCGGAAATTCCATAATTTCTAGTAGTGGAATCACGTACGTACCAGTACTCTAGCAGAGTAGTTTTCACCATCAAGAACCGGCACTGCGCTACCATATACTTCCTTTTCAACTCCAGAAGCCATGGATGATCTGCATACAAATTGTTCATCATGTCACATATTCCGGACCGGACAACATAGTAATCTTTCCGACATGAATAAGGTTTAGAAGCATGCATATATTATATATACCTGGTCTGGTCGGCGCAGAAATGAGTGTTTGTCTTCCCGTCGGCGCCTTTAGCAATGTAGAAGTAGACAGGCGTCAACTCAGAAAGTTTTTCATCGGCGACAACCAGAAGCCCGAACGGTCCCAAACTGCCGCGTGTAACGGCGCCGCCGCTATTACTGCACTCGTAGCCAGCGTCATGGGACTCCGAGGTTGTTTCAAGAAGGGTTTCATCCACTTCAAATGAAGCAGTTATGTCTAACTGTGTCCCCTCTGAAACATGGATTGGCACCACAGATCCCGGTTCAAGATTCGCCTTAGCAGTTATAGGATCTCCTGATCTCAAGCTTTCCACTTCTTCAACCGGCCATTGAAGCACGTTTGTCCCAGTCTTCTTGTCGAAAACTATGGTCCTAGGAATCGCCTGAATGAATGACATAAACATTAAAGATATCTATCAATGTTGTCAATTTAGTATTTTTAGAATTTTATGAAGAATCTATCATACCTGAAGAGATGCCCAGCCTTTCATGAGATCAACAGATTCTAAATCAGTTTCACCAATCCATCCCCACAAGATTCTTCTCTGCTTGTTCTGATCATAAAACGTCTTGGATGCATAGTACTTCCCATAATCAAGTCTCAACCCGATACCCACATCCAAATCCGGGTTATCGGGTGTCCACTTGTTTTTCACCGGGTCATATGTTCCAAGTGCATAGTAATCGTGTTTATCGTCATCCAGACTAGCTTTTAATACGTGCTTGATACCTAACCCGTTAGCTGACGTGTCAAGCCCGTATTCTCCGGTGGTCGAAACCGGGTACAAGTCCACGCATTCCCACATACCCGTACCCGGAACCGCATGCAACACTCCATCCAAGAGCTTAAAGCTGGTGAAATTGGTGGTTTCATAAACAAGTGAAATACCGGTTTTACCGACCTTGGACCCTATTGTAACCAACCATTGACCGTTTTGACTGCCAGATGTCCATGCAGTGGTAGGGTCCCTAAAGTCCCTGACACCTATCCCTGGCGGCGGGAATAACACCGGATTATTCGGATATTTGACCCAGTCAACGAGCAGAGGATCCGACAAGTTGGCCGGATAAGCAAGATTCTGGACCTGAACATAGTCATCGGTGTCGCCGGTGTAGAGCATGACGATCCGACCGTCGGGAAGAATGGTGGCGGATCCAGTCCAGACACCATTAACGTCGTACCATTGATCTGGAACCATGGCGAATGGTAGGTGGAGCCAATGAATCAGGTCCGTTGATACAGCGTGGCCCCACGTAATATTCCCCCAAACAGCGGAATCTGGATTGTACTGATAGAAAAGGTGGTACCATCCTTTGTAGTATAATGGGCCTGTATAAATGCCACGTGCAGTCCATGTTACAATGTCTTAGTCAAACTGTTTTCGTCTTTACAATCATTAAATAATCCACCACCCCTCTTGTTTGACGTACCAATTCAGCTTATTACTTATTGGGCAACATGGGTCACCACTTATGAAATTGTCACAGAAATTATCAACATATAAATGTATTTCTAAAGCTGTTTTATATGTATAATATATTTTATTATATTGGATATTGTAAAGTCTGAGGTTAATCATACATGGTATAATTAAAAAGTATATACAACAAACAATTCTCTAAATTTTAAAGATAAATTATATCTTTTGCACGAGGTAATTAAGGTAAAATTAAACAAAGAAAGGGCAACAAATGAGGTTACATACTTACATGTTTTAAACAAATAACATTAGGTCATAAAATGTTTTTAATATTAAAAGAAAATGAATGGGGGCGACATATTCACATAATTGTGGCAACTAGTGGACCATTGGATCTAGAGGTGGGCCCTGTCCAAAAATAATGGAATATTCAATTCTTGGGCACTTTCTTATCTTATTTTTTTTTATCCTAATCCAGATCAGAGATGAGTAAACACCACATATTTTTATGAACCAAAACAATCCAAATTAACTAACTAATTTATCCACCGTCCTACCATAAACGGTAAATATTCTGTGGACGTAGGTCAAATCTAAAAATACACATTTTAGATACTAAATATTTATAACTTACCTTTTAAAAATTCATAATTTGTAATGACCATGTATTGTATTCACAAATTTCTAAAACTTATAAACACAATTTATATTCTAAAAGTTCAAACTCCAATACTAAAAATAGACAATTTATGACTAGGATTCACTTTGCAATGTGCACCTTTGTCTATGATATAACAACGGACCATAAGCCATTCCTACCATATATATTTTTGGGAGAAGAGAAATTCACATCTACTACTTGAAAGTGTACATTTAAAAATTCACTCCTAAATAAATGTTAATATCTCTATCAAAAACCATACAAAAAAAAAAAAAAAACATATACAAGAATTATATTCTATCCAATCAACCACTCATTTGATTATTACGGAGTACTATACTATTGCATATTTTATTTCTAAAAATGCTTAATAATACCATAATAGGAAAAAAGAATATACGAGTATTAAACTGCAGCGACAAGATCTAGAGACGTTTGCATTAGCGGCGCATGTTAAGAATGTGTAGAAATAATAATTAGCATGATAATCACACGATTAAACGGAAAAAGAGGATGCAGTCAAACGTACCATTAGGATCTGTAGCAGAAAACGATGATCAGAATCCATTCGTTCCCAAACATCAGCCATGAGAATCAACAGGAAAAACTCCGATAAATGTCTTTAATTAACAAAGCAAAATAAGAAAGGAGTAAACAGATTTTTGCAGAATTATCACTTACCATTCATCCAATTCTTCACAGGTTGAAAATGGTAACCCGTTCGTTGCCAACTCAACATGAGATTACTCCAAGCAAACGAGACTCGGTTGCCGGCGCCGGAGGCTCCCCGGAACGCCTTCTCGGAAACACCCTGAGACACCCCTCTGGACGGCGGGATTACAGCCGCCGGCTGCGCGGATTCGGACGGGGCAGGATGTTGAGAATTGTCGCCGCCGCTGCTAAGCGGCGGCGCCTGAGATGGTGGCGCTTGGTAATTTACCGCCACGAGGATTAAAGCGAGCAGGAAAAGTGAGGAGAGGATAATGCCGGAGATGACCTTGAAGGGTTTCCGGTCACGGGTCTGAACTCCGGCGGAATGGGGTTGCTCCGGCAGGGGAGTGTACGCGGCCGCGGCCGCATTTTCAAGATCGTAAGTGGGGTTCAAATGAGAGCTAGCCATGTGTTTCCGACAAAGTCGTCAACTATGAATGACTAACATATGACTATATTGTAAGAAATAACAACACATTTCGCTTACATATATAATGCTTGGGAAAAATAAATAAATAAATAATAATCAATAATCAATCAGGATACCAGGCTAGGGCATAATGTTGGATCTTTGGAATTGGGTCAAATTTTGAGGCCAATAAGGTAAATGTGTTTGTCGTGTCCAATACACCTAAGGTTGGGTGGAGGGTTTGTCCAACATTGTTGGGAAATCACATTTGTAAGGGTAATAATAAGTTCGAGAGTTTTTCCAATTTTAGTCATATAAGTATTATACATTTTTAACATTAGATCTTTAACAATCAACTTTATTTTATTTTGTCAGACCACGGGGTGTACTGAGTATGTCATAACTGTAAGAGGCACCTTTAAGCTTATATCATACTCAGACCAATTTTCGTTCGCACCGGACCGATTCAATTAATGGGCAAAATGCTGGCCAAATTGGTACATAATATATTACTACGACCACATAGACTGTTAATTGCAAGTACATAATATCATGATTGCAGACATAATATATTGTTAATATATTATATGTTTACATTTAACATATTATGTACATGTAATTAATAATTTATATGTCTGTAGTTACCATTTTATGTGTCTGTAGTTGACGTGTTATGTACATTCAATTTATTTACAAATATATAAACGATTGATTACAGGTATAAAATATATAAATTATTGTCATACATAATTTTTGTACCAAAATTTATAATACAATATAGACACTGATCCATGATATAACAATTAGAGCATTTTCACGTACTTTCTTGATAGTGTACATTGATTGTATTCAATAGGGCAATTGATCTTATATGCTTTGGTTCAGTCCATAAGTCCATTATTCTTTTGAATCACTTGTTTTCATTATTTTATCAAGTGATTATTAAAATTTATTTGAGGCGGTGCTCCTTTTTAATATTTGTTGTTTCGTTCTATGTATAAGTTCTCTATTAAAAAAATTTCGCGCTAAAATAGATGACTAAGAAAATATAGAATATAAATAAATTTGGAATCAAAATATTATAAGCAATTATTGTTAATATTTTAGTCAAGGTTGTTGTATAGATTTTTTCTGAAGTAATTTATTTTTCTTGTTTAATTTACAAATTATGAGATTATCTTTCATCAGGCCACTACAAGACGACAGGTGTCATTTGATAAAATATATCTACGTGTCGACACGCCATATTAGTGACTAAATTCGGTTGATTATTGGACACGACCTGACAATCATCGTAGCGTTCATCATCGGAGTCCCAATAATACAATAAAATATTCCTAAATTTCCTTAATGATTAGTTGTTCTTTAATCTAGTTCAGAATTTTCAACGTATCTTTTTTTAACATTGAATAATTCATTAAAAAAATAGCACTTCAAAGTTCGAACTCAGCTAATTAAAGACATGCACTTAAAATGCTTTTGTGTTTCATTTTTTTTTTTTTTCGATGTATCCTATTGGAATTAAAACTAAAACATAAAAGAAAGAGTAAATACCAATTTTAGTCTCACGAGTATTAATAAAATAACAATTAGTTTTGATCCACATGTTTAATTCATACCAATTTTCATCAACGATTATTATTTTAGTGTCAAAATTCATCACACCGGTCACCTCCTCCGTTTAAGATATGCCGAAATATGAAATTATTAAGGGTATTTTTGTCATTTTCAAATGAATATTCTAATTTGAGCATGAATAAAGAAATTTAAACCCTTAGATCGATCCGAATTCACAATTCTCTTCGTCAAATTAAGGTAGGATGAGGAAGAGAACTGCGATTTGAGATCGATCTTAGGGCTTAAATCTTATTATTAATGCTCAAATTGGGAACTTAAGTTGAAAAGACGAAAATACCCTTAAAATTTTTAAATTTCGGCATGTCTTAAATGAATGAGTGACCAACGTGATAAATTTTAGCATTAAAATAATAGTCGTGGATGCAAATTGGTACTAAAATAATAGTCGTGAATGAAAATTAATAGAAATTAAACATGTATACCAAAATTGTTATTTTGTTAATACTCATGGGACCAAAATTGGTATATGCTCATAAAAGAAAGAGTTCTATATTTTCCTAAAAGAAATGATTAGAAGAGAAATACAGCGTGGCATGGTGTGAACTGACATGTCACCTAACATATCGACGTGGCTCTAGCATCTTCCACGTGACCCGATGGAAGACCAAAAGTTATAATCATCACTGATATATACATGTTTCTGGACTCTGGAATGTATTAGGCATTTAATTATGGTATTAATTAATTAAATACAGATTAATATGCAGCCAGCCATGGCAAAGCTGTGTTTTGCATATTGGGAGGAAAAAAATGACATCAAAATTTTACATAAGATAGTAGAAAATATTATTTAGCATATTTAAGTTGATCGGATAGTTAGTTTGGTAATCATAATGTTCTAAGTTTGACTCTCCGCAGAGCTTATCTATATATTGACTTTTTTAATTTGAGCCGATCAATTATGGACAATATAAAATGGTTTACACCCTTATGTCCTTTGTCAGCTATGATCACAAGACAAGTTTCACTCAAAGCGCATTGTGCTTTCAAGCAACGGCTGTGAACTTGCATTTTACCAATTTTCTTAAATGAAAATGAGCAGCGTACTCCTAGGGAATAAAATTCTCATGCATGTCTTGATTTTATTAGAAAAATAAAGTAGAAAAAAATAAATATTGTGACTAGAGATTTAATAATAACTCAAAATAGATGGATTGACCTAATAAAATTGAAAAAGTATAAGATTAGTACGAAAAAAATAGCTGGATAAGCAAATCAAGCTAACTAGGCCAATCCAATCAGAATGACCAAATAACTTAAAAGTTTTAGAGTTAAGAAAAAAAAATTTAAATTTAACAAAAAAATAATAAATTTGATCGTTTAAACTCAATAACTCAACAAGACTAACCCAAAACATAACATATTCTCCTGATTGACATTTCTAATTAAGAGACTAACTTTTTTCTTAAATAAATCAAAGTATAGACCATAGGATAAAAAGATGGAGTGAAAAATGTTTGAATATTCAAAAAGAATTTGAGTTGGGAAAATAATTTATTTTTACTCTCAAATTTTATTTTTAAATTTTATTTTTTTAATAAAATTTTGATATTGATATTTTAATTGAAACTCACAAGATGAAGATAATTAACTAATCATCAAATGTCAATTATATCAAAGAGTAAAAGTGATGAAGTATATATATATATATATAGTAGAATTATTTGAGTTGAGACACTTGTCATAGGCAATGAGGGCCGAACTTTAATAATGATTGGTCGAAATTGGTGGCCTAAAAAGCGTTGCGGCTTGCAGTTTGCGAATGACCTCTCAACATAAATCAACCACTAATCTCGTACGTTTCCTTTTTCTTTTTTAACGCAACATTTGCCTACATCTCATGTGCCATGTGGGCTGCTTATTCAGATACTTCGAGAAATCAAACATTATATAACATGATGTGTTTTACATAATTATTTTTTGAACTAATGTATTTGCAAATTTGATACATAGTGCATGATATGTAGCATCATTTTTATGTCATGATTTAATGAATCTAGATAACTAATTTTTTTATTCTCACAGTCTTATAAGAGGATAAAATTTATTGAAAAATACTCGGTAAAGTAATATGAGTTTTAACATCTTTTAAAGATGTATCTCTTAATTGATCGAATGCAATCATGTATATATGTAATAATAATTGGATTGATCTCAATTTGGTGCATTGATGCTATTTTTCACGTTAAGAGGTGTAGTACAGTAACTTATAAATAAGGCTCCTATCCTATAAATGTACATACAATATTCAATTAAAACAAATTAATTTAATCCTTAAACATTTATTAATGTCATGTATCTTGCGGGATGTAATTAATCCAAATAAATTTTGGTCTAATTTTTTATAATACATGAATTTATACTCTCAACCTCGTATTTAGTTTTAATTTGAAGAAACATTATATATTATTCTTTTTTCTTTCACGTGAGGTGTTTAACTGTTTATGTTATGAGTACTTTGCGAATTGTGATTAGTTACTTGATGAAATAATTGTAATAATATATTTCTAAATTCTAAAGGAAAAAAAAGTGTGATGATGATGGGTCCCAAAGGCAAGTATAATTGTCGACATTTCTTGCATTATTGTGAATCCAACAAAAAAATAATAATGTTTGAAGCCACATCATCAATGTCCAATTTTCTTAGATAAAATGATTAAGCATGGGAATGATTCACATGTGACCAATAATTATATCCAAACTTCTACTAATCATGCTTTGATTGTAATTTCCTATTAATCAGATTAAGACTTGTTATGTTTTTAATTCACTCCTTCAAGGTTTCGCTTGCCTCGTTAATCAATAATCTATTTTGTTTTTATAAGTAATTCAATTTAATTTTTTTCTCACGAAATATTTAATTACACAATTAAACAATGAACATACAATATCTCTATTTCAATTGATAAATAAGTTCACTGCAACAAATTATGTGAAACAAGTGCAAAACCTTCAAACAAATAAGGACCAAGCTAGTACACTACTAAACGAGATTATACAATTGGGGAAGTACAATATCAATTGTTACGGGTGCATCTTGTACCAGATACAAGTAAAAAAGTTTTAAGAATATTTGTATTGTTTTGACAATATCTTGTATAAACGTACTCAAAACTATTTCTATTCATTTTAAATTATATCTATCGCGTGTTAAAGACAATAAATTGTATTTATCACGTGTAAAAGACATCCGTTGTAGGTTTCCCTCGTTACATTCATATATACGAAGACATTTCGAAAGACATGCATCCCCTCTTAACAACGAATTATATTGTAGTGGCGCGACCACATTGAATTTAACCAAACCCTCTCGGTCAACCTTTTGCGAATGCAAAGTATTTTTAGTACGATTTACCTTTCATACGTGATTTGTGGGCTATTATACAGTAACATAGTTTATCAAGTGATTTGTTATTTATTATACAAGAACAAAATTTATCCAGTATATATACATCATCTGATAATGATTATAATTTTTTTTGTCAGCCACACACGAAAAAAATGAAATTAATTTCATTGATTAATCAACTTTGCTAGGAATCATGAGATTCTTGCTGGCGTTGGAAATTAAATTGTTTGCACATCCAAATATATGAATATGGGACCCAAGACCTAAATTATTTATGATCAATAATAGTGTAAATGTGAATTATTAAAGCGTAGATAGGTACAGATCGACCACATATCCAAATGAATGAAAATTGAGTAGCCAACGACCGAATGGTTAATATTATGAGCTGAATCAGCTGGAAAGTGATATATATATATATATATATATATATATATATATATATATATATATATATATATATATATATACACACACACCACTCTACACTACTCCACTATCTACTTGACTCCTGTCTGCAAATCAATATGTTACACTACTACTGATGGGACTTGGGAGTGATGGAAGTTTAATTAGCCTTTAGACACATTCCTAACTCATCACAATCAACGTGTATGGGTTTTGTAACTTTCGTTAACTCGAGACACTAAACTTTGATATATAATATAAGTCACGATAAATAAGATGTCTAATATAAGTTAAATAATAGTGTAGTTGTACGTGTATGATGCGTGAGCAGTGTTCCAAAAATCGACGCCTAGACGTTAGGCGGTCGGCCTCCTAGGCGTTTTAGGCGGTCCCCAGACGTCTAGAGGGCGCCTAGCGATTTTTTGAACATTGTGCGTGAGTGTTAATTAGGGTAACATTCAACTACAAGTAAAGTCTAGTCTAGTCTCTTGTGCGACGATAACGTTTTTAGGCTTGAGCAATGAGCATGCTATCTACATTATTAAATGCCATCCAACACTTGTATAAATAGATTTGAGTTGCCAGGTCTAAACTCTAAACTACTGTCAAATTATGCCGTGCAACCGTGTGCACCATGCATAGTGTACACGGTTGGAAAATGGCATCGTTTAGATTAAAAATGATGCCATCTGACTTTTAAAAAAAAAATATTCTTGATTGTCGTTAACGGCATTATGCCGTGCATAATTTGAACTATATATCCAGAATTAATGAACTATATATCAACACCGGTTACTGGTACTCTATTTTGGCTTATGGCAGTTCGATGCGTCTGTGTATTCAAAATGAATGAACTATATATTCAGAATTAATGAACTATAAATTCAGAATTAGTGAACTATATATCCAGAATTAATGAATTATATATCCATAATTAGTGAATTATATATCACGAATTAATGAACTATATATCCAGAATTAGTGAACTATATATCCACACCGGTTACTGGTACTCTGTTTTGGCTTATGGCAGTTCGTTGCATTTGTGTATTCAGAATGAATGAAATATATATTTAGAATTAATGAACTATAAATTCAGAATTAGTGAACTATATATCCATAAAATGCATAATACATGAAGAAGTAGACCTCAATTTACAATGGTGAGAAAAAAAAATGATTGGTGGAGTTAAACGGTGCCACTAACGGCACCGTTACTCTACCATAGTGAAACGGCGTCGTTCGCAACCGTCTGCTAAACTACTATATTGGGCTTGATATGCCAATATACGTAGATATGGCTAGTTGGATTAGACTTGAAATCAATATTCGAATAATTTGTGAATGATTCAAATTATTTTAATTTTAGTATTTTTTTTTTATTATTTTTCCTACTTTACCCTTTGAGGGAGTGAGTCTCATCCCTCCTATGTGTATTTCTCATATTATTTTCAGTTAATAGCATTGCATTGTTCCTTTAAAATAAATAAATAAATAAAAATTATACAATAGTTATTATTACCCAAATTATCAACTATACTTTAAATATAATATGAATTTCACAATTATGATTAAAAAAATTATATACTATTATTTTAAAAGATATTTCAATATAATTATAATTTTAATATTTAATATTATTATTGTGTGTCTATTTTTACGCATGGCGCATAAAAAGATCTAGTTTAAAGGATAAAAAGCAATGTTAGCCTCTTAATTAATGGTGAATCATCATTTTGTTTCTTTGTTATTATGCGTACACAAATATTTTTTCAAGTTAGGCTGTTGTCAAATTAGTCTCTTAATTATTGCAAATTTGTAATATTAGCAACCAGTTTAGGACCTTCAAAAAAGCAACCAGTTTAGGTTGCATCTTGCATGTTACTATGTTGGTAGGCCTATGGACAATTGAAAGATCAATTTAGTAATATCATAGAGCAAATAAGGATGACATTTGTATTCGCTTGATAGTGAGACACCAAATCACTAATAACTAATACGGAGTAATTAAGAAAATACTCTGCAATAATTTTTTAATAGTATATAATATATTAATATTCATGTTCACTATATCTACGTGCTACACCTTTTCTTTCTTTCTTTTTATTTTTTTAATGAGGAAAGCCCAATTTGTGCTCACAAAGGGCCTGCAATGAATACAACATTGAAAATCTAATTATATATAAAATATTTGAAGTATTGTGTCTTATGCAGTTATGCTTAATAGTCCCTAATTAAAATTTGGACAAAATGTTCTTACCATTATTAATATTTGATGAAGTATTGAATGATTTAAAAAGATGAGATAAAATTATCTCTTTAAGATATCTTGTAAGTGACAGGTATACAGGAAGCTGATGAGATAAGACTTCTTCTTATCTTCATCCCGATAGATATTAAACAACTGTAATATTCTAGATACTTCTAATTCTTGTATAAATGTATAATTGGAATTGTCCATATATATATATATATATATATATATATATATATATATATATATATATATATAAAGTCATTAGTGAATTGAAAAGCAATAGTAATATTCCTAGTTTCCTACATTACCCTCTCCCCTTTGGGAGATCAGAATACAGAGGAAAAGGGCATCCTTGGTGCAACAGTAACAAAACAAAGAAAAGCTATAGACATTAGGAAGAATCAAACTATCTAAAACACTTTCCTTAAAGCACCTCAGCTCCTGTTCCTTAGTAACACTTTACAATTTTGATTAGAATAAGATTTCTTTAGCAAAAAATTCTAGTATCATCATTCATTACTAAGTTTAGTCTTCCATTACTGTCATCAATCATTTATAGTGAGCGCTAAACTTCTGTTCACTTCTTCCACGTCACCAGCAACTTCAGAAACTCCATTACCTGCAAAGTCGCCATCGAGGCATGAATACCCGACAGGAAACCAGAAGAACGAAACTAACTAACTAACTAACTGATCAGCGAGCAAAACATTGGTTATACCTCGGATGGATCCCGAAGAGAGTATGTTGCGTTGCTCTCCTTGGGCGTCGAAGAAACCAGGATGCCATATCCTCGATTTCCAACTCTCAAGAACTGGGAACAAACCAGGATACCATTCAGTTTCGAATGTTTCAAGCATGTGTGGTTTAAGTTTCAGATTCGGGTATGTTTGCCATTACCTTAAACGCATCTTCATCTGTTCGATCATCTCCAATGTATATAGGGAGGACATCATCGCAATCTTCTAGCCCTGCATCATCATATAAATGATGGTGTGCTTTGCATAGTCAAACAACCTATTAAGAACAGATTCTCTAATACTAATCTTTAATGTTTGTATTGTACTATGTTTTTCCATACTAAAGAACAAACTACCGGGCATAAGTTTATGCATCATGCAAAGGAGACAAACTCACCAAGTGATTCAAGTAAGAACTCGACAGCTTTCCCCTTGTTCCAATCGAGCACGGGCCGAATTTCTAAAACCTGGAAAAAGAAAAATCGAGTACACTGTACTTTGTTACAAGGGGGTGAAAACAAAGGATACGAAAAAGCGAATCGTGTGTATATATTACCTTGCGACCATGTGTCAATCGCAAACGAGGGTAGTGTTTCAATAACTGGTTTACAGATTCCCCGATTGTTTCCCAACTCTACAAACGATGCAAATCGTGTAAGCTTTTCATCAATCAGTAGATAGTGTCATACACAGTTTCGGAACACTTATTTTACCATACCTGTTCCTCTACGTTTCTATAGTGAACCGAAAGACAGAACTTATTGTTTTCAACGTTCGCTCCAGCAATGTCTCTGGTTATCTCGACAAGCAATCTAAAAACCTGAAGTGTATGAGGAATTATTAAAAAATACTAAAGAAGAAGAATACAAGAATGATTATTAATAAAATTAGAATTAAATGAAAAGGGGTTCGTCTAAAAGGAAAGACGATTACACACCTCGTCAATCATTGGTAAAAATTCTATGGCGGGCTGGAAAAGAGCAACTTCCTTACCCTATGTTCACAAAAATTAAAAACCGTAACACCATATAAGTACAGTCACAAATGGGAAACGAAGATCGCATCTCTTCAATCAAGATTAGTCTAAAAAGTAACGGTATTACCTGCTTGTCAGTGGAACTAATGCATTTATAGTCATTTGTAACGGGGTGCACAGGCCCCATAATATCCATACCATGACTACCAGCGTAATAAAGTTCGGTTAGTCCTACAAACTCATATACCTAAAGAAACGAAAAAGGTTATCTTAGAGGTGAAATTACTGCAACGGGAAAATATATATATATGGCAGCAAGCTACCTTATCACGACTTCTCCCACTAATAATTGCTGTTGGAAAATATTTCGCAACGTTTTTTACAGCAGCTCTCATCTGAAAGCGTTTTATTAGGTATCAAGATTAATCCCCCAAAGAAAAATGACGAAACTTTAGATGTTCGATAATAGCTAATTCTCACAGCATTTGACATGAAGGCACAATCTGGATTGTCAACGATTGGTGATAAGGTCCCGTCATAATCCAAGAATAACGCTATCCTCTTTCCTTTTGCATAGTTCGTGATTTGCTCAAAGGATGCGAGTGCCGATGGATATCTGAGCTGTTAGACAAGAAAGAAACAGAAAAATTGAGCTGTTTGGTTGACAGAAAGTGTACACAAGGAAAAAAAAAAAAAAAGAGAAAGGAATAAACGTACTGTCCAATTGTAATAGAGAACATCATTCTCGTTCAATATGTGGTCGATACTATGATCTTTATTCCTATTCTTGTGAGTGGGAGAGGACGATTTCATCACATCTAACCAAGTGTTCGACTGTAAGTCATCGAGTATTACTGGCTTCATCATCGGGATTGTAAGGAACAGCTTATGAGAGAAAGTTGTACCGGCAGGAGAGTAAGGCAGAAGAGAAGCAATGCCTATCCTCGAATTGTTCACGGGAGCAGCATCAGCAATAACAGGGGATTTACGGTTCGAATTTAGGTCCATTATGGCCCGAACTATCGATAGATAGATATACAACTACAAATTTACTTCGAAGATGCAAACTTTCCTTCCTAAATCTTTCACACTTTTCAACCCCACTTGTATCAATACATTCGTTAATCTTACTTGACCATCCTGCCCCCTCGTTCACCGCAGTTTTTTAAGCAGTCGGGTGGAAAATAACTGCAAAAAAAACACGTTCCAAAAAGAAAAGTAAAAAAGATGAACGTCAAAGATTAACACCTAATCATATGAAATAGAAGAGTAAACCTCATTGGATTCAGAACCCATTTTGATCTAACCCTTTCTGAGACAATCATGAAGTTCATATGTCCAGTAAAGGACAACGAGAGTCGAGAAATAACTTCCAAATTCAAATGAAAGCAAATACGCAGATGCAAGTTGATTCGTATAAAGACTCAACAACAGATATTATTATCACCTCCGATGAGTGAATAGGTCGGGGAAAGCAGTCACAACGAGGCGATCTAGACTAATGACTAATGCAAAGGGTATATATCATATATGCACCCACATAATGTGGTCCAGAACGCTGATATTTGGCACAAACAATTCGAGCAGTCAGTAGTGAAAGGAAACAATAGCATATGCAACCACATAATATGGTCCTACCCAGGAGTATGGACAGCATTATTAATATGGACCCGTCGCAATAATTTTCATAAACAAAACAAAACCATGACATGTCAAAAAAAGGAAACTACTAAATTCTTATATCCCCATTTTCTTGTTGCTTTCAGAATATTTCGTCCCCACCATAACACCTTATACTACAATCATTTCGTTCCAAAGCCATTACATAGATTCATAGAAGAATTCGTGCATAATTGCATATACTATTTCCTTCCTTTTATCAGTTTTGTGGGTTACAACCGTGTAAGTGAGAACGACTCGGATCAACAAAACGCCCAGTCGCAATCATGTTAACAATCAAGCAAAACCATTTGCCAATTAAATAAAAGTTTGAAAAAGATGTATACATAAAATTCTTTGGCAAACATCACATCAGTCTAAATAACAAATAGCTCTATCACTAACATAATAAAACCAATGCTAAGAATATCTGCCTTTGCAGCTGCGAGAAAAAACAGAAATAACCGAAAACTTATTAGCTATTACTATCCTTAACCAGCACCACAAATTAATTATATTCTAACATATCTTACAAATGACTCAGCAAATGACAAATTGTTGTTGTTAAATAAACATCAAGCTAAAGAACAACCAAATAAGAGTACAAGAAAGCCCTTATCACCATCAAGATTTTTGAAATTTCTTCATTTATTCCATATTTGGTTCACCAAAGAGGAAAATAAAAAAGGAAAAAAAAAAAAAAACTTGAAATTTAACTTACCCAAATTTCTAAGAAAATTATATGCTGAGTTGCTGACAAACAAAAACATGGATGAGTAAAAAAACAAAAAAAGTTTGAGGCTTTGACCAAAAAACAGAGAGGTCAAACGATGAAACCTTAAATCACACAGAACCAGAAACGCAGAATGCCTACTCCAAAAAGAATATTGAACGCTTATATAACCCAAAGTTTCAATTTTTATTGTCTAATACTATACCCACAATGCATATATGCATCTTTTTCATGAAATGTACGATGTGATTTTATAATTAGATACAGACAGGAATAAATTAACAACAACAAATGAAAAACAAAAACTTCCCAGAAAAAAAAAAAAAAGTACATCAGAAAATCAAAAAGTTGCCATTAAAAAAAATTTAATAACTACGGAAACAGAAATAGTAATGACGGCGGAGCACCTGAATCACGAGCTGGAATATGAAAAGAATCACCGAAGCCGAAAGCACAGAATGAAAAAAAATGGGAATGAATGCGGATCTAAATATAAAAAAGGTATTTTCCAAGAGAGAAGGGGAGCGGGGAACAAGGATCAGACAAAATCATCGTGGACAGAACCAGAACCCAGAAGCCCAAAGAACAAGAGGATTGATACAAACAAAAAACAAAAACAAAAAATCGCAGAGAATGACGTCAACTTACCACCTCCAGAGAGAAAAAGGCAGGGAGAGATTGTGATACGTATGTGCAGATTGAGAAATTGTCTCAAGTAAACGCATTCATGGGGGATTGATACGTGCAAACGAAATATATATAACGGAGTATGGTTATATAGAACAGAGGGGAAATGGACGAGGGAATCGCAGGTTTGACGACCTTAATTTTTTCAGAGGAAACGTGTCCCAGAAGAGATGGCGAAGAAAATAAAACAGAGAAGATGGGCTAGCTACCGCCAACCTCGTCATGTTTTAGAGCTTTACCTACGATTCTACGAATAACTTCCTTTTTTATTTTTTTTTTTGGTATTTTCGCAATTACTATATAATGGTGTGTTTAATTATGGAAGCATATTAACTCATAATGATGTTACGTTATTTTACTTAATTAACTTACACCAATTAATTTATAAGTAATCAATTGATAAAATATTGTATTTTCACAACGTGATTTGGTTTCATTGGAAGAAAAAATGTTATTGATTGTATAATATATATAAAATATGTCTGCAATTCAACCCTTTTATAAGAAATTATGTGCCAACATTTTCACGTATTACATGTAACCCATCAAAAAATAATCAAATCGCACACATGCACACTTGAAGGAGCTAGCATACCCAATAAAAAAATTGTGCCCATGTGTCACATATGTCTCATACAAAAAGTAATGAGCTCGCACATGCACAAGTGAAAAGATGTATCTAATAATAATAATAATAATAATAATAATAATAATACAAGATATTATATCTACATGTTGCACATGATCCCTCAAAAAATGATCAAACTACACACGTGAAATGGTGTATTGATCATATAATATAAATGTAAAGTTTAGATACCAATTTAACCTTTTAATTGATATGAAACACGATTAAATTAATTGAAAGATTTTTTTTCTATAAAATTATTGACTAAAGATAAGGTTTCTTATTATCTACTACTCCGTACTTCTTATTTAGTATTTAGTACAACTAGTATTTGTATGCCAAATTTAACAATAAGCAACCAAAGAAAGTTTTGTCCTATGGTTAAAAGTTAAAACTTAAAACCGATATTGTACTTAGAGAGTAATATATAGAAATAATAATAATAATAAATCCAATGGTTAAAACATAAAACAGTAGTACAAAAGTTTCACGGCTTTTCGTCGTTTTCCTTCCGATGATACATGGTCAAGAAGGTGGGTCCCGCAAGAGAATCCGGGAAAAGACAGACGACACGTGGAGCGGTAGTTTGTGGCCAATGAGCTTCTCCTTTGCCAGCTGGCATAGTAAGAAAACAAACGTGAAAGCACGGCCAGGATTGCATCCCATCCCAAGGTATTCTTTTTATTATTTTTTTAATGTAAAAACTTTAATGCGTTGTTTGGTAAGACATGAATTGTATTACAATTCTATCACAATTCTTTGACTACTCCAATTATAATATTTGGTTGGAGAGAATTATATTTATTTATTTTGTTGAGTTACAATTCAATGATTGTCAGAAAAGAAAAAATGGATAAAATGACATTACTACTCTTAGTTATTATTATTATTATCATTATTATAATTATTATTATTATTATTACAAGTGTATTTTAGATTTTATATCACTTATTTTTACAGTCACAATAATTATATTCCTCTCTATCAAACAACGTATTTTGAATTCATACATTATTTCCATTTTTTTAATCGAATTACAATTCCTTTCTATCATAATTCCTTCATTCTCACCAAACGCCCGGTTAATAGTTAAAATATAGTATAAGATGTGCCATGCGTATAATTAGGCCAATTTTATATATATCTCTCGTTAATAAAATTAAATTAAATCGATGGTCTTGTATTCTTGTAGATGCTAATGAAATTAAATTATTAACTTTATTAGATTTATTAATTAGTGAAGTTGTACCTTGAAAGTAATGTCACATTATTTAGTGAAGCCAGTCGGACACGATGATGTGCTTATTGAAGATGTGGTGTATAGATAAATTTTTAAGTTAGTTAGATTCATTATATTCTTAAAGAGTGAGAAGGTGAGATTAAAGTGTTTGTTGAATCTGTGAGGGGGTGGCCGGGCAGCGGCGGCACGGTGGGGTCCGGCGACCCTCCGTCCATGTTTGGCTGTTTGTGATAATACAAACGACGACGCTACTTTAATTGGTTCGGTGCTTTCTTGCGGTGTAGCTGTAGTACACCTCCATCCCTTAGCTTTCATGAATTGTACGTTGAAATGACTAGACTTTGGTGTATGTGGTGCTTCCTACCTCACCTCCAAAGTATCCCCACCTTTTGTCTTTAATCACCCATGCATTCTATGGCTATGATTGCTCATTTCAATATTGGTATGGATATTTTTAATTATCGAAAATCGAATTTGTTCTATAATCTAGACAGTAATTAAGCACAATATTTCAAGTCTAACGATCAATTTAATGAAAGATCGATTCAAGTCCAATTGATTAAGACATATGTCGATCAGCTCAGTATTTCAAATAGTAGGCTCAATATCTCAAGTCCAACAATTAGCTTTTTGGAAAAGCGATCAACTCAAGTCCAGTTGATTGGAAAATATGCTGATCATATCAACTTGACTTACAAGAGAGCCCAAATTAAACAACATAACCGACCTATGCCTATAACATATCTTCTCTCTATCTATACATACCGTATCATTACATTGTGTGAATCTAGTTTAATTAATTTACGCGGTCAATTGTTAGAACAATACAACTAAATAATTAACCTCCTGATATGTCACATCATATCAGTGATTGTCTCTTTGTTTTATTCATAGGTCATCCCTAATAGATGGATCTTCACAGTTTTTAAGAACAACAATGCGGATGGACGTGGAAAAGAGAAGGAGAAGAAAGAGAAAGTTTGGGTATCTCCTGCAAAACAATGGTTTTTATCATAATGGTGGGACCCACCAAAAATTAAAAGAGATTAAAGCTGCTCGCGTGCGCAGCAAAACAAGCGCCTAGCGGGCGCATGCACTCCACGTGCCCGCTGGGCACGTAAACCTAAAAAATCTATTTTTCATATTTTGTTTTGCTTTTTGATTTCTCCCTTTTTCCCTCCTCGCAATTTTCACTTTCCAAGTCGCACCTGTAAAAACTTCTTAAAAACCTCAACTATTGAGAACGCCCTAAGCTAGTGACTTTTTCTTGGGTTTTTTTTTTTTTTTTTTTTTTTTTTTTTTTGTGGGCCCAAAGTTAAGTGGATGATATAGAAGAACGAGAGAGAAGACATTTTGATCTCCCGCAAAGTAATGGTTTTCTGTGGATTCCAAGGAGAAAGAAAGAGAGAAGGCATTTCTTTTTGTGTCTGAATGTTTTTTTTTTTTTCTTTTTCTTCTTCTCTCTCCCCCCTCTCTATCTTACTTGGCTTCTTAAATATTATGCAAAAGACCAACTGATATATTTGCTCTAATATATCTTCTTATCGATCTTACTTGACATAAAATTTCTACAAGAAGTGTTACACACTTACACTATACACCCAAAAATAAAAAATCACAAGAATAAACCTTTACCATATATTAGAATCGAGGATTGTCTCCTTGTTTATTTTAAACAGATCAAAATATATCTTCATATGTCTTCACCTAACAAAAAATAATTTCTGAAAATGTGTTAGATTTATACCGGAACAAATAAACAATACACGAGAGGTGTGCATTAGAGATGGTACACAGCTACAGATGGACTAGCTGGCTAGCTGAAGCTTCACCTTAGGGGTTTACAAAATTGAGGAAGTTTAGACATGCAAAAGACTTATGGCAAAGATGGTGGACCAAACTGAATCAATTTGACGGACAAAACCACTTTCATGGAACTAAGAATACGACAATGTTTTATCATAAGGGGGAGAAAAGTTAGACATGTTCTCAAGTATTCAACATCAACTACCAAACCCCACCTCCAAATACTATGAATGAATGGAAGTATACCATATACGGAGTATTAGATTATGTATTGTTTATAAATCACCGTCAAAATATATTATGAGTTATTTATCTCTGACTTAGTATTTATTTCTAAGTTTATAAAAAAAAACAAAAAACAAAAAACAAAAAAACATGTACAATATTGATGAGTTATACTATACATTAGAGGTAATCATAATGCAAGGTAATTTAGGATTGAACTGCCCTTGAATCAGTTCAATTCAAAATAAAAATTAGCATGACCTGAACCCCCGAGTTAGGGTTTCCTAGGCCTGGATTGAGACAATTTTAGAGAGCTAGCTAGTCTCGATCCACCTATATAGAAACTGGAAGTCCAAACTTAAAAAATTCATAGTGGAGATCAGGTCCTGAATTTGACTCTCTTACACGTTTGAAACTATATTAGATATTTTTTAAAACCACAACAAATATTAATTATTACTCGCTAGTACAGTGCATTTTTATCCCTTTTTAGCCTAATTAATAATTTTCCTTTTAAAATTTGTTAATCAGTCCATAATTAGAAGAAAATGGGTATGCTCTGCTGGATAATAAAAGCGTCAATTCAATAATTGATTAATCAGGGTTGACGGACATCGTTATGCTGTTATAGAATCTTTTTGTGTATATCATAATCAACATTTAAAATAATTCTCGAATGTTACGTTGTAACATGCATGCACAGTTATGTTTTTGCATAATTTGTGTCGTCAAAGTCCGACCAAAGAGAAATGGCCGTTGAAGTTAAGTTAATGAAAGTTCCACACTTCCATGGACACATATTTTTATTAAATTTAACTATAATAGTTGCTATCGTGTCGGTGATCTAGAGCTACAATCCTAGGTGCTACCGTACACTACAACATGATTAGGTCGAATAAAAAGTTTAACGAAAGATAATTTACTGCTCTAAAAGAGTTCTACTACAAACTCCCAAAATTTACTCCCTCATTTATACTTTCTGAGGTGTCAATTCAAGATTGGTTATTTTTATCATGTGAGTTCACAGAATAATGTCTACATCAAGGGCATGTGAGAGGGAGTACAAGTTGGGAGTTTAAAATGAGAATAAACCAAGTATTTTCCACTCTAAAATCTTACTCTCTCAATTTTTTACTTCTTGATGTGTCGTGGTTTCAATATAAGTGTGAAGTATCTACATCAATATTTTGTGTGTGGAAGTAAAAATTAAAAGTAAAATATAGGAGTACTTATAACATTTTCCTTAACAAAAATAGTTCTGTTATACATACTTTCAAATTCTACTCTCTTAATTATATCCGACAAATAAGGATTG